CGCTGCTGGTGTGGGACACACAACATCACACACAAGGAACACAGGGAGGAGACTCAAATCACACTACAATTGCACAGAACACATCACACAGATTTAGGCTTGTAGTGGACAGAAAATAGTTCGATAAGTTTTGAAGCAGTGTTGTGCGCGCTGTGTAGTTTAACGTATGGTAATATACTATTTTTTAAATTCATTGTCTTAAAATATCAAATTATACTTGTATATTCCGTCTTAACTTTACTCATCTACCTATATCTCTATTTACTCATTTTACATGATTTAAATAAGAATAAAACATATAATAAAAAAAATTGGAGTACCGGCTGCAGAATCCGATGACTTAAGCAACCAGTGGTCGCGGCTGCAGAGACAGGAATCCTTTTTTAACATTTGCTAAGCTAGCGCTTGACCGCGATCCCACTTGAAGGAAGTGACGATGCAGTCGAAAAATGGTATGCATTAGCTTAATAGGTAGCTGTTCACTCTCCTTTTGAAGGCCCCCACTTCATATTCGGATGCGAAAACTCCTCACGATGCGTGCGGTTTCTAAAATAATCCTTAACCCAACTGTCTAGGTTCTTGCTAGAGCTCATCACTATCAGCCCTTGCACCAAAACCACTCTCGGAATAATGGTAGTCGAGTTTTGCGCCACATGGCGTAACCTCGTGACCCATAATAAGTCATACTTCACACTAATATTATAAAAGCGAAGGTTTAGATGGATGGATGGATGTATGTAAGAGTTTGTAGCCTAAAGTGCTGAATAGATCTGGATGAAATTTGGCATTTACGTAGATCATAAGCCGGAAGAACACATAGACTATTTACTTACTTTTTTTTTTAATTTCCACGCGGACTGAGTCGCGGGTAAAAGCTCGGTATTTAATAATTTCATGTTCTTCAACTTAAGCTTTTTATTATACTACTTTGTACTTAAGTTACTTAATAATGATGTTTACTATGATCACACTGCGTTTATTGTATATATTGATATACATATTATGTAGTTGTTTATTATTCCAATTAAAAAAAGATAATTCTGATAAGACCATGAATTAAAAAATAAAATTTCATATAATTCACATAGATTACTGTTTGGTTTTTGATGATAGGAGTATAAATTATTGTATATTTAGAAGAATGTGATGTAACAATGCGTGGCAGGTGGAGCAGCTGCTGCAGGGCCAGGAGGACTCGCAGGGCAACGTTAACTACGAGAACTTCGTGCACCTCGTCATGCAGGGCTAGCCCCTCTCCCTCTCTCCCTCTCTCCAAATATTCCAAAATATGTTTATGAACTTTAAAGTAGGCATATAATTATTATTTGTACAAATGTATGTATAACAATAAAATTATATAATAAAAGTGTTTTAATTTAGTATGGCCTCGCTTTCCCTCTTTGTGTACAAGTGGTGCTTCAAACAAACGCTTTGCGGAGCCGCAGAGAGACCACCTCAATGTCAATCATTTAGGAATAAATTGTTACGCAATTTTACATTAATCTAGAGTTATTACTTATCACATTTATTATTATTATTACTTGTTTTAGTTCAAAATTATAAAAAAGATGATAATAACGACTACAATTAGGCCGGGTGTTTAAGTATGATATTGTTACAGTATGTTTTATGAATAAAAAAAAACAGTTAACAATCTTCTATTTTTCAAACTTCAAGCAGATCTAAAATATGAAATCGATGAGGACTTTTCAAGTTTTACATAGTTTTGGATTATTCCTACAAATGTTCAGGTGTATTCGTGTTGTTGATTGTTGTTGTTGACATCTAAATCGAGTGGACTTAACACAGACATGGAGCCCGATCGCATGGATCTTTATGCGACGAGGAGGCGCGTGCGGAAGTTGCTGCGTCGCCGTCGATTAAGGAAATAAAAAGGACCTTTCTATTAAATCGTTTATTACAAAATTTTAAATATTCGGCAGAATCTTGACTAGGCTCTTAGACTAATGCGGTACGTACAAATTGTAGAAGAGACTCTTGCCACTAGTGCAATTTACCGCGCACAAAATTCTGTTCGCAGAAAAGTTCAA